TACCAAAGCAATTCACAATGGCATGCTGGGAACTAAAAATTACTTGATCTTGGATATTTTATGACTATGTCCAACGCAACAACAAGCAAAATCAAATTTTGTTTTATTTACCGTAACAGGAATTTCTATATGAATCTAATCAATTAATTTCATAGAAAATATATTAAAAATATGTTTTAAGCTTGTTGTCCAAATTATGAAATTAAATAAACAAATTCACGAATAAATCAAAAATATACCAAGAATATGTGCTGAGAATTACAACAGAAATACCTAATAGAGTAAAATGGTAAAGAAAGCAAATCGAAACCTGTACGGTAGCAGTTTTCTTAAAATAGATTTTCGCCGCCTTATGGGTCGAGTGCTTGAGGAATTCTGACGTCTGTCTCCCAAGATATAACGGTCAAAAACCAGCTACGACAAAAGCGCTCTCTATCTAGCTTAGCGAACAAAACCCTTGACAGCACTCTCTCTCTGTAAGAACTTTCTGACAAACTGACTTATAAAATAGAAGCAAAAATTTCTGTTTTGAAACTAGACAGGAGGGTTTCAATTTATACATGTATAGGGGAGAGAGGAGGAGCCTCCAGCCTTTATGGCTAGTCACTAATGCACCATTAACCTGCCTTTATGGCTGGTCACTAATGCATCATTAACCTCTTCAATATTGCAGGTGTTACATACATATTATATACACTAATCCCACTACCTCTTTCATGAAGCTAACTTCATAAGGTAATTTTTCATTTAATTCTCAATGGTTTTTTGTTATTCTTTTTGTGGTATAAAGATCTTATTGCAAAGTATCTAGACCCACTTAGACCCAACATAATAGATGGTTGGGCCCACTTTAATATTTAATTAAAGTCACCAAAAACTCATTTTTTCCAATATTATTAGCTTAAATAATGATTTATTCAGATTATATTAACATTATCTAAAAGTTAATAATTTATATATATAATATTATTATATATAATTTGGTATTCTCGTTTTGTCCAAATTCTATCCCCATTTAGCTTCACAATTCTTTCCTAAATGAGTCAAAAATATATTGTCCAAATTTTTTTTTAAAAAAAAATTCTGATTAGTTCAAGTTCTTCAAGTTGGGCTGGCTCGAATTGCACCCCGTAGTAGTGAGCTCACAAACACAGCGCCAACCCCCTTGAGTTGAAACTATCAATAGAAAAGAATCTCTATCTAATAAAAAATCTTATAAAATCGGTGATGATGTATAACACATAAAGGGCACGAAGGTCCCGCTCAAGGGGAGTACAGGAAATAATTGATATACACAATCTTACTCTATAAGCGAAAAGGCTGGTTCCGCGACTCAAACCCGTTATATAGCTAAGTTCATTAATACATACATGCATACATACCCATGTGATTAGACGTTCCAAATCGTTTTCCAAAGCATTTCGATCCTGATCTACATGTTTCATCTTCTCTTGCCATGTTAGAACAACCTCTGTTGTGTCCATGGCTATGCCGGTCTTATGATCATCTTCTTCTTCTTCTCCAGTAGACATCATCACGATGAAGAAGGAAAGAAAATAAAACACCAAGTTATTGCAAGTTTAAAATACAATAGACAGGTAATATATGAGGATGATGAGAAAAGTAGAGCATTATTTATTAACGATGTTTGGAATGATGACTTCTTTATTGAGTAACAGATTAATGTACGTAACCGCTATTAGTTATAACGTAATCTCGAACCATAAAAAGAAAAGTACACCAGTTCCCAGTGAAATCAGGGTTGACAAGAAACGCATAAAAAGCAAAAGCAGTTTGTTAATTGCTTTTTTCATTTTTGTGAATTTTAACTAAAATTTTAGGTTCTATTATTAGGCTACACTGACTTAAGAAGTAAATGAAAAAATAAAAATAAAATTAAACACAAAAAAAAAAAAAAAGAAGCTAAAAACTCATTTTTTAAAATTTTTTTGTGAACTTTTTTATTTTTTATTTTTACTATTTAAATCGTTCAAGACTATAACAATATGAAAAGTAAAATTTTAAAACAAATCTAAAAAATTATCCCTAAAGACAGTTTTTTATATATATATTAAAAAAAAAAAACATGATTTTTTAACCGTTGCCCAACAGAGATAGAACCCTACAAATTACAACACGGCATACCTTACCATTTTTTGTCTAAAATTATGATGAATAGACGTTATCAATTGATTTAATTAGATACAAAATGCAAAACATTAAAATCCTAGAATTGTTACAATTGAATTTAAACTATTACTATAATTTGCTCTAAATTTTTATAACGGGCACATTGATTCAAAAATAGGGTTTGATTTCAACTGTTTTCAGCTTTAAATTTTAAGTCAGTTTTTTTAAAAAAATAGAAAATAAAATTATATGGTTCAATCATTTTTGTTGTTAGGAATTTTTTGTGTGTGTATCCTTCTTTTTCAAAAGGTATGTGGCAGTTCCTTTTGCATAAATAGGTCCTCCGACCATCTCCAACACTTCATTAAATCTGGCATCAAATTTAAAATTTGGTGAAAAAGTGACTTTTTAGTGCTCCAACGGTTTCACCATATCAATATCTAATTGAAAATTCACCAAACCTTTTACCAAAATGAGAACACGCTCCAAGTTTCACCAAATCACTGTTTGTTACCGTTGGGGGAGACAAACCGGTCAACCAGCCGGTTGACCGGCCGGTCGACCATAAAACGGTTCAAACAGTTTAAAAAAAAATTGCCTTGCCGGTCGACTAACCGGTTGTCCCGGAAAAAGTTCAGACAGTTCAAAAAAAAGGTTCAAACAATTCAAAAAATAATAATAATAATTTTGCCTTCACCAGTCGACTGGCCAGTCAACCAACCGGTTGTCCCGGCGCAGATTTGATGAAAATTTGATGAAAATGAACCATTGGAGCACTCGGTATCAGATTGAGAAAAAAGTCATTTTTTTACTCAGATTTGATGAAAATTTTGGTGAACCATTGGAGATGCTCTTAAATAACAAAAATACACCATATGGTATACATTCACGATTGTGATCACATTATCTTGTACTAGTATTTTCATACGTGTGCAATTTAAAAAAGTAAGAATAAAAATAAATGAAAAAAAATTAACAATATAATATGGAAAATAGTTTGTAGCTTGAAATATATTCCCCCGAATGGCCCGATTTTTGAAAACGACGTCGTTTTCAAAAAGATTTTTTTTTAAATGAAGTCGTTTTAACTTTTTTTTTTTCTTCTTTCCCTTCCACTTCTCGTTTCTCTCTTGAATCAAACCCAGAGAGAGAGAGAGAAATAGAGAAGGAAGAAGAGAGGAAGAGGAGGGTAATGGCGGTGATGGAGATGAAGATATGTTGTTGATGGCGATGGTGATGATGTTGTTGTTGATGAAGATGTTCGCCGATGAAGATGTTCACCACCTCCAATCTCTGATTCTGCCTCCGATCTTTGATTTCCACCTTCGATTTGTGTATGAGGATGTTATGTTGAAATTGTTTTTCAAATTTTTACATTTTTTTTTATTGATCTCTATTTTGATTTTTACATTTTTTTGGGCCCTCTGTGCTGTGTTGATGATGATGTGTTGGGGTGGGTTTGGTTTTTGGTTGATGATGAAGATGATCTCTCTTTCTTTCTCTACTCTGCTCCTTTCATTTTCTCTTCTTTCTTTCTTCTTCTTCATCTTCTTCTTCTTTGTTCCTCTTCTTCTGCGTTATTGAAAAAAATAAAAAATCAAAATCAAAACGACGAAACAACGTCATTTTGAATTCGGGAGATTCGGGGAAGGGAAGATTCGAGCTACGTAGCATAACTGAATATAATATATGTGTTATATAATAGTTTTATTACCTTAAACACATGGTTGTGAATTCAAGCCCTGTGCTCCTCTTTGCATGAAGGAAATCAAATGCTTCATAGCACCAATTGATGCCTTTGCTTGAGGGCTTGGATTCTCTTCAGTTAGATTTCCTAACTGGAGGGTGTTGTTGGGCATGCAGAGGCCCAACAACTCTTTCCAAGTCTCTCCTTTTGCTTAATATAACATGTGTATAATTCAATACAGAAAAAAATAAATAATATAGAAATTAATATTATAATATGTATGTTACTTATCTAATAAGAGTTTCTTCATGATATTCAAGATTTTGGATTTAAACCTTCTCTTTGTACAACTTTTTATTTTGGAAAAAGCTTAGACTCCCAAATGTGTGTGATTGGTTCATGTGTGTTTCCGTGTTTTTCTCTCTCTCTCTCTCTCACTGAGGATGATGTGGGAGTTGTAGGGTCTGTCTCAATCATTGCTCTAGGATGAAAAATGTCACATGGCATGAGGGCTTTAGACACCAAATCCAATTTTCACTTAATAATAATATAGAAAGATGGATAGGATAGATACTATTATATTATGTAAAACAAAGGTTCAAGTTAATATGTTAGAAACCTTTGTTTATATGTATACTTAGAGTACCCCTCATCATTTTTCAAAAATTCACTCATAATTCTATAATTACTAACCACTTAGATTTTGATTTTGAATTTCAAATTTCACTAACTTTTCTCTTACTCTTGCTCTTCTTTTTTTTTTTTTCTAAATTTTTAACGAATGATCGACTTGTTAATTCAGTGGCATGAATAATCCCTTATTGTTTCCCATGTCGAGTATTCTTTTATTTCAACTTAATTTAAAATTTTAATGTAATTTTATAATATCTTTAATTTAATTTATTTTTTTAACAAAAAATTTTAAAACTTGATTTATTTCACAACTCTAAATAGACAATTACATTTAATAATTTTTTTAATTATTTTATTTATTTATTTATTGAGTACACAAAAGTACACCCACCAGTTTCATAAGAAACATATTAGAGATTCTAAAATTTTTGTCAAATGTCCGATATATATGTAGACTTTACATTTACATGAGACCCATCTCATATAAGGCATTTAGTGAAATATTTAAATATTTCTAACCTTGCTCGTTTCATAATTTTCATACAAAAAATGTTACTCCTCCTGCGGGTAATGTTACGATTCACACAACACAAAAGAATGTGTACCAGTCTTTCCCATAATAAATATCTATATTATTATAAAGTGAACAGGAATTTTGGTGTCCTAAAACTTTACTCTCCTCATATCATGTGATTTTTTTTATTTTTTAATAAATATCTATACTATTATAAAGTGAACAGGAACAAAGAGATGGGCAAGGCTTGAACCCATGACCATGAATGTAAGTACGAGAACTCATACCACTTAAACTAAGTACACATTATAACATTAATTTTATTATTATTTTTTTTTATTCCTACTTATTTAAATTGCACACACCTGTGTGCCACACCCACTAGTATAGATAAAATTGTGATTAATAAGCAAACCTGCAAATCACCCTACAGCCAACCACTCCATCATCATCAACAACATAATCATGCTTATGACCATCCCAACAACATCATCATCATCCTTCCTTCCTTACCAGTGCCACCATGTGAAGCCAAAACCAGGTGGAGTATTATTACCTGCTTTCACTGCTACATCACCTTCATCTTCATCTTCATCTTCAAACTCCACAACTACTACTACTACTTCTCCTCCTCATTTCAATACTGTAAAAATCATATCAACAACAACAAGAAGAAGAAGAAGGTGGGCCGTGTCGTCCTCCTCGTCGTCAGGCAATCAGACGCTGGGCATCGCGCCAACAACCACCCTATCATCTCCGCCGGCCTCGGCATCGGAAATTGTGAAGAAATTCTATGAGGGGATCAACGGCCACGATCTGGCCTCGGTGGAGGACCTCATTGCCGACAACTGCGTCTACGAAGACCTTATTTTCCCTCAACCATTCGTTGGTCGCAAGGCAATCATTCAAACCTCCCCCCTCTCTCTCTCAACCTACATGATTAATTTTAATTATTTATTTTTATTTATCCCGAATTTACGATTTAGTGGTTTTGATTGAATTTGTATAGCGTGAGTCTATGTGAAAAATGAATCTGAACTAGAAGATGATAATTTTGGATAAATTCGGTATAGATAAGGGTGGATTTGTAGTATTACTCTTAATTAACAGGCCCTATTCTCCCCAAATTCAACCCAAGAATTAACAGTAGGCTGTAGATGTCATTTTGCAGCTCAGTGTACAACTGCTTCTAAGAATTTGGGACAACTTTGTCTTTTAGATATGTTGATGATTGGGGTGCCACCCCAACCCAATCAACTTAAAAGCGCAATTTTTTAAAAAACTTGGTTATCATATTTTTGAATTCTGTTCTAGCTTAGCTTGGTAGAATTCAAATGGCTGAATTAAATTAGAGCTGGGCTTTAATACATACATTAAGCTATCCTGTATTCATAAATATATAAAATGACAAAGACAATCACAGTGGCATATCGGTTCCTCAATTCTCATATCTCTCATTTCTGTCTGTCTCATTATGTAAATTACTTGTTTTGATGTTATTAATGATTTTATCAAAAAAATATCAATAGTCTTAATTAACTTTAACAAATTAATCAGCCTAGTTGGGTAATTCAAGCATCTAGCGTCTAGCCCGACTTCAATTTATTATGCTCAGGTCAAACTTTAATAGACAAGATTTGTTCATAAGTCAGCCATGGGCAAATAACTCAAGTTGCACCTGGGCAATCTCAACCAGCCAGAACCAGCACAAGTTATAGAGGAGTTTGGGTAATTCATTGTTTTTCAGTCTTTCCTTCTAAAAGAGTTATTTGTGGGGCTTCAACTGTTATGCAGGCAATCCTAGAATTCTTCCAGAAGTTCATTGATTCAATTAGCACAGATTTGCAGTTTGTCATTGATGACATATCTGACAAGGATACCTCAGTTGTTGGGGTTACGTGGCACTTGGGTATTTGTTTTGTTTTTTTTAAATTTTCTATTCTGCCCATTTCATGAATATTATTTAGTTCCACATTGAAACAAACTGATAATTGGATTCATGATGACAGAGTGGAAGGGAAAGGCTTTTCCTTTTAGCAAAGGGTGCAGCTTTTACCGGCTTGATGTGCTAAATGGAAAGAAGCAAATAATGTACGTGAAACCTTATATTCTAAAATAAAAGGATACTCTTTAAGAGAATATGCACTTTTTCTGTATCTTTCTTGTGATGCATTTGCCATGCCTAGAGTTATTTTGAATCGTCAAAACTATTTAGGGTGGATTGTGGGGTTAAGAACCCCAAATTTTTTCTTTTACTTTTTTTCTTGAGCATCACATAATTTTGAATCATCGAAACTAATGATCTAAGATATCACATAATTTTGTAGTTCAGTTGATTTTTTTTCCTCTCCATAGTTTTCAGAGGGGTCTTATATGCAATTAGGACATTTTTCTTGCAGATGTCATTCTTGTAGAATTGGTGCATATGGAAATTTAATGGATGACTTCCAATGGCTTTTGTGACTCATACCTCTAGGATCGCATCCTTTACTTTCCCTTAGTTTTCTTTACTAAATATCAAGTACGACACACAAATTTAGGACATTTTTCTGTTTGAAGGCGTGACTAAGTGCCAGCTAATATAAAAAACCACACACAAAAAAGAAAAATGTGAAATTATAAAGCTCAAAGCTCAGAATTTAAGTGCTTTATTAATCAGCAACAAAAGTAATATATTAACAAAAAGTCAAATTATACAATAGGGGAGGGGGACAAGAAGGCCACCAACTAAACAAAAACCCGAAACAAATTACAAATCACACACAACTTACATTCCTTTCCATTAACTTTTAGAGGGAAAAGAGCAGTATGTGCTATTAAGAGATCACATCAGATAGATGTTTAATCAGATCGTTCTACAAATGGGCTTGTTACTAGCAAGTGTGAGTACTAATCTCTAGTGTTTTGTTTGGGGCCCATGCTTTCTAGAATTTCTTCTACGTTTTCATTCAGTTTTCATTTCAATCTAATATTCGATTTTGTTTCCCAAAGGTTTGACTTAAGTGAACCCCCAATTAGGATTTGTGATTTATGTGAATTGCATTGCTAGTTTATTTCAATTTTTCTACCAAGAGTTGTTTCCAGAGATAGCAACTTCCTTTCTTCCTTTCATCAAGCTATCGATCTTATCTTGTAATCACCCTAAAATCTATAGAATCTTTCGGTGACAATCTTGGAAATGCTAACGAGACACTTGTAGATATATGTATGTATTCATTTTGAGCTCATTCACATATTTTTTTATAGTTTTTCCCTCGTAATTTTGTTTTACCTATTTAAATTGGATCTACTACTGCTTTTTTTTTCAACATATTGTTCTTTCGCAGTTTGAAATATTTTCATATTATTTGGAGATTAATCACAACTTTTAAAAACAGTTATGGGCGAGACTCTGTTGAACCTGCGATCAAACCTGGGGAGATGGCTTTGGTATGTACCATTGCTTTGATTCATGACATTAATCTGTACAAATCCCGTATGCATATATATACAACACAACAGCATCTATACACATAAATTGTAAGCATTAATACTTTAGTTTGATATATCCATACATCAATTTTACCAGTCTTCAATTCGAACACGTTTTCACCTTCTTTTTTATTTTATTTTATGGCAACAGCTTCCAAGTTTTGATCTTCCTTGATTTGTAGGTTGCCATCAGAGGTGTCGCATGGCTGCTGCAACGGTTTCCACAGCTAGCAGACCAGTTATGACCGAAAGTATGTGAAAAGTGAGATTTATCGACAATTTGCTATTGTATAGATTATCATAAATCTGTGCTCTTACTAAATCAATGTGTCATTGATCCAAATTGGAGGGTAATACTGGATATACTTTGAAGCATGATTGTTGTAATACTATTGTTACGGGAGTTTCTTGCCTATGGGATATGTGGACTGTGTTACCATACTCTTGTAAATGTAGCGTCTTTTAGAAAAATACTGTTCATACAAAATTTGTCATTCAAATTATGTAAAGATAACATTTTTGTGATTAAATGATATTTTAATAGGCACCATGCTTTAAAATGATAAGTTTTAATGCAGTCACATTATTCTTTATACAAATTATTTATATTTTTTTCTGTTTTGTTTTCATTGTCCTCAGCAACCAAAATAAAGGATGAAAGTAACAATGTTTCATACAAGTCCATGGCACTATATATGCCATTGATTTTTGTGTGTGGGCACGCGAGAGCTTGTCAATGTCAATTGTGACATGCATTATCAAGTTGCCTTATTCAGTGCAATCACAAAAGGTGTTGTTTTTCAGATGTATGGCTAAGGCCTAGCAACTTTTGCCAAGAGAATAACTTCGATCAATTTGGTTCGATAATTTCACTCCCACTTGGTGTGAAAAGCGTGCCACAAAAAGGTGGGACTACAGGGGGAGAGGGGGCAGACACTAATTAAAGCATAATCAAACGAAGTCCAAAACACTGAAGTGATGACATCCCCAAGGAGTAAATCACAATTGAGATATTTGCATGCTTTAGTTGAAAGTCATTAGACAGACACTCACTCCGTCCTACAAAATTTTTCTTCATTCATGTCCACACCCAACTAATACAACAATAACTTCGAAATTATCTCCCTATTTCGATGTTAAATGCACTCATTAAAAAAAATGATAATACACATTGATGTTAAAGTCGTGATGATACACAACCAAAATTCTTTTCCTCTTTTTTCTGCATGATGCTGCCTCAACAAGAATGAATAACATTCATGAACCAAGAGATGCTGCAAAAATCTGGTGGCGCCTATTTTCAATGAACTGCTGCCGAAATTGCTCAAACTTTCCTTCCTTGATTGCTTGTCTAATTGCGCGAAAGAACCCCAGATAATGGTGTGTGTTATGGCTGAAAATAAACACATTACGGTACATATGAAATACACACAACAATCAAATCCACAACCACCACAATAAAGTGTGGGAGAATTTGTACATTTCTAGCAGAATTTGAGCCAACATTTCATGAACATTGAGCAGGTGATTAATGTATGCTTTTGTATGATTCTGGCATGCGTAACAGCTACAACCATCAACAATAGGGGATATATCTTTCCTGTCAAACATTTAAAAACAAAAAAAACAAAAACAAAGAAGAAGGTGGACCAAATAGGTTAATAGTTGATAAAGTGGACTTTCCAATCATCCATACAAATTATGCCATATTCAGTTGGTGTGGATGTCATAACAAACAACAAATAGGTTAATTGTTGATAAGAAGATCTGTAGTCTGTACTATATACGACAGTTGATAAGATTTGCGGCTTCTTATGAACTTCATTTAAAAAATTCAACAAGCTTCGTTACAATTTCAAAAGTTGTCAAATGATTTTAAAACTTTAACATTTCACGAAAATATCAAAAGGCTTTGAAATTTCTATATTTCACTGAAAATAGTGAAGCAAGAACCAAAAAGCCTACTTCCAGTCTTCAAAGAAAATTTTCATTTCAATTCAGGTTCCAACTAAAATTCCAAACCTTGAGAGATCTTTACCTGTAAACTGTTGCTTTCAGATTGATCTTTGTTTGGTCACCTCCAATAGCACTTGGCTGAGAATCAGATACATTTCTCTCAATTTGATCAAACGGAAAGATAAGCGCAAAACCTCCAATTGTAAGATCGTAGATATACCTATAAAACAGTCACAAAGCGTTTTAACTTCTAGCAAGAAAGACACACAAGAGAAACTTGTAAACAATCATGCTGAAGAAAGCTACATACGTAGAGTCAAAAAGATCAACTCCTGAAGCAATGCCCTGCAAGACCTCCTCTACAAAATGAAAAGACAAATATAGTTTTGCAGCAAAAGATATCCACAAATCTAAAAAATGAACAAAAAATATTTTCAAGAGCCGACTTGCGAAATTGTCTGTCCCCTAGAACTAAATGCAATTTAGACGGTCCAAGTAAACAGAATTAAAATCAAGCCAAAGTACTAGAACAAAACATTGGATTTTTGTAGGGGTGGTCTGTGAGACTTACCCTTGCAAAATTATTTTTCTTTCAGACCATAAAAGGTTATTATAAGAAAATCATTCTTGGTGAAATGAAAAATCTAATAACTACAAATAGTAACAAAAGTAAGCATGATACCTGGAAGCCCAAGGCCACAAATCTGCCGCGGCTTTTGCTCGGGTAAATTATCCTGAGATCAGATCCCATACACTATCAGAAAAAAAGATTGAATTTTCAAACCTCTTCATGAGACAGATCCTTTCATTTGTTGAAATACTATTATGAACTCATATAACACTAGCAGCCTTTCTTTAGGATTTTTAGTATACCTTCTACATTAACACCCTCCACAAGTAGAGGATGTTGATCCTAAGCCTAGAATTTAGCTTGTCACTCCCCAATTTATAGGTGCATGGTAGGTGCATAGCTTTGGCTACTAATAGAACATCACAACGTCTGATTCTATCACCAAACATATAATGCAATTGAAGTGGAATATCCACAAGGTCCTAGCCTGCAATCTTGCTTAAAAATTAAGTTATTGTCTTACTAGTTGAGCTTTTATTCTTAGCTCTACCTGTCACATTTCTTTTATCATCTCTGTTGGATAGCTTGATATAGATTGTTGGACTTATTTCCGAACAGCTTAAGCTTTTGGGCTAAGTGGTGATTTAACATGGTATTACAGTCCAGGTGGAGAAATTCTTGGGCTCAAATCTCTTCATTTGCATTTACTCTCCGTTTGCATTATGCTTCTCTCTATGTATGTTTGTTTGAATCTCCACATGCAAGAGGGGCTTGCACGTGAGAAAGGGAGTTGGATTGCTTGATATAAATTGTTGGGTCCGTTTCCTAACTACTTAAGCTTTTGGGATTAATGGTGATTTAACAATCTCAAAGCATGTAACTACTATAGGTATCTAAACGTTACACAATTCAATGATTTGAGTAGCTTCTCTGAATTTTTTTAGAAAGGTGCAGTATTCTTCAACGTGGACATTTCCTAAATAGAACACAACTTCTCTGTTATAAAGTGATGCAACAGAATCATACCGTTACAGCATTAAGGAGAGGAGAGCGCTCATCCATGCTCTCTCCAAGCCCAAATCCCCCAAGCCAGTAACCTGCATACAACGTTATATATTTACTTTAAGAATATATAGATAACAGAATGGATGCCAAGTTGAAATTAATTACCAATACAAGCATAAAATCACGATCTTCGAATAAGAACTCAAATGACAACAGTCCAATAGATAATTTTTGAAATCGGTGAAAAGGCAAGATGCATAAAGGTAGAACTTTACTGGTCTCCACTAGGTTCAAATCATAGAGTGCCTTTTTTTCTTTTCTGTTTTTGATGGAGGCTTTGTACAAGAGAAGAGAAGTGGGTGATATCAAGAAGTGGGTGGCCTCTTGTCTTTTTTGATTTCTGAAATTAAGTGGGAGGACATTACCTGAGTTTGAGAGGAATGGCCAAATGGCATAATGCTTTGTGAGGAATGAATTGACTGGGACCAATTCTATATAAAAAAATATGCACCAGAGTGGGGGCAACGAAGCAGAATAGAAATCAAATTCCTATTTCACCCCTTCCAACTCTCTTAACAAATTAATGAAGCCTTAAGCTTATCAGTTAGATGGAAAAAAATAAATTAAAGAGAAAAAAGAAAAAGATGAGAGGAGAGGAGAATGTATGGCTGAATAAAATATTCAAAGTTAGAGTTCTCTCTCTTACTGCATGTGTTTATATCCAATAATGTACAAAGTACAAAAGAACCCTTATAGCAACCTGATACATTTCGCTTTGCTACTTCCTGAGCACATCGTCGGCGTTCTTCCACACTAGAGCCTCCAACAATGGCTCCAAAAACAGCTCCACCTGTCTATACTTCAGTAATTAATACATGGACAATGTCAACCAATTAAAATATTATGGCATATGACATATTATGTCACAATTGTTGTATCATGTTTCATGGACACTTTTTGAGGCATCAAACACATTTAAAAATTAGGAAAATAGTAAGAAAAATATTTATAAAATGCAAAACAAAACTTAGAAAAAATAATCTTCATTCACCTTGTTTGGCTTTGAGTTTTCAAAAACAGTTTTATGAGTTTTAAATTCGTATTTTTTGTATTATTAATGATTTTTTTAAATTTTTAATCAAAATTTTTAAATTTTTAGATCCACTTAATCTTAATATACTTGAAAAGTAAAAAATTTGTACAAAAATCTTCAAAAAATTCATTGAATACAACAAAATACAAAAATGTAAAGAATTTTTGTTTTTGTTTGTTTGTTTTGTTTTGTTTTGTTTTTTTTTTTGTATTTGGTGACTTTTTTAAACTTTTTTTTCACAAACATTATTATACTTTTTAAGCATGTTTAGATTAAGTGTATTTAAAAAATAAAAAAAAATTATGTAAAATATTTTTAAAAATTCACTAAAAATAAAAAATAAAAAAAAAACATGGAAAACAAAAAAACTCAATTTTCTGAAAAGTGAATTCAATTTTTGGAACCAAACATGGTGAGGGTTCAAAAATTTATATCTCTAAACCTACCATTACAGTTAGGATATTAATTCTACAATATGAGATTCCATTCCATTCGCTAAAAGAAGAACGGATAATACTCTTTCATACAAACTATAGAACAAAAACGTTGATGTTTACATTTACAACATTCACAAAAAAGGGAAAGTGATGGGAAATGAAGAGCAAGAAGACAAAGAAGAAACAAGAAAAATTGTACAGCAAAAGTTACGCAATATTTTATGTTCCTGTTTTTAAAAAGCATACAACATCACTTCCCTATTTTGTTACCATATCACTTAGATTCAAGTTCTAACATAACAACTTTTTAAGATTTTTTTGAAAAGGGAATATATATAAATCCCTCTAATGTCAAATTTCCAAGAACATTCCAACTTATGGCCAAAAAATACACAATGGTTCCCTCATATTTAGGAAAGATAATTGTCACGACTTGCTAAGTTGCATACACAAAATCTCCACCAAAAGAGGGTTGAAGGAAAGGAGGCTAATGAAAGATTCTAGAACCTCCCAGAAGGTTTGGGAGAATGCAATAATATTGTACACCATTCTAGAACTTCTATGAAATATTATAGAATAGACTCTAGATAGTTCTAGGAAGGTTGTGAAAGGATCTGAGATGATTCCATACACAACATTAATTGTACATTCTAGATTGTTCCTAGGAAGGCGAAGTTGGTTATATAATGGGAAGGCCTCATTCGGCCAAACCATCAAAGGGGAGTGTAATATAAGGAAGGGTACCCAAGTGAATACAAGCAAAGCATTCTCTAAGAGCTTCTCTCTAGAAAATGTTTCTTACTTGTGTGTGTTTGTAAATCTTTCCTAGCTCTTTTCCAAGTAGGCTGACTTAGATGCAAAAGGAAAGGAATTGAGTAGGTTTAAATTTAAAGGTGATAGGTTGCTAGAAATACAAATGTTATGTTATTCAGTGGACAACAATTAACTACATGTTTTCTTCTACCTTATTAAGCCAAACTTTATTAAACTTCTTTCAACTAAACTCACCACAAAGTCAATTTTTACCGAACTTTATTTTAAGTTTTGGTTCCTATATCTTCTGACTCTAGTATTTTGTTGGTTTTTTAGCTAAACTCAAAAAATGTATTTTGCTAAAACATGGATGTCGACTAATGAAACTAGTTAGAAATATAGGATGGAGAGTGTTTACCGAGCTTAATGCAATGCATTCATCAAGCCATCTCACAGTTCGGTCTACCGAGTTTTTGTTCCTCTTTATAGAGACCCATGCAGGCACTTCATCCGCTAAAGTGGCCCACAAATTTGGCTTCATAGAAGAAATCATTTTCATATATTCTAATGATTTTATCTGCAGACATTTAAAAATTTTGAATAATTAAGCAAATTATTCCTAATCGAAAAAAGAATAAGTAAGAAAAAAATTAATGGAATCGAGAAAAAATTTACTAGAATTACCAAGAGACGACCACAAGGAGTTTCAAAAGATGCTCCGATTTTGTTGGTGCCATTGCATTCTGGAAGACATACAATAGAATCTCTTGGCACAGCTGCAAATCCATATTCATGCAAACCAAGCATCTGGTGTAACCCTCCACAATTTGCCATTGTTTCTGGTGTAAGGCCCTCCAGGCTACAAACAACGAAAATATACGAATCTTATTTTTTTCAAGTTTATATATGAATTTTTTTTATACCATAAGTTGATATATGAATCTTATTTTTTTTCAAGTTCAAATTTTAAACTACTCATTTTACTTAAAATGTTTGCAATTAGGGTGGCGGTGAGCTTTCTTAGAAGTTTAAAATGATTTTATGTTATTGATAACATTGTTAGGTACACTCAAACGAAATAAATTTTTTGCACCAAAAAGAGTGAATGACTTGGTTTTTTCATGTACAATTTGAAATTGAGACAAATTAACACTTACAAGTGTTTGGGTGCTTGCAGACACATATGTAAAGTAAAGTAGATTTAACTATTTTCTTTTTTTTTCTTTTTTTTTGCAAGAGTCCAACTAACCATACATATTAGCAATACCAACACCAATTAACCCAGTTGGATAGATTTAACTATTCAAGTCAGTGAAACAAAATCACAAACAACTTGTGTGCAATTTGCATGTACTAAAAAAAAAAAGTGTGAGAAAGTTGAAATACTTACAAGTGAAGAGGGCTAAACTGGAGGATGTGGGAATCAGGAGAAGGGAGGGAGGGGAGGAGATCTGGGGAGATGAAAGCTGGGAGGCCTTTACGAGTAGAGAGGAGGAGAGCCGGTGTCTCTATGGCTATTTCGCAGCTGCTGCCCCCAACTATCTGTAAAATACCAGACCTTGCTCTTCCCTTGCTCCATGCCTTTACCGTAAACATCATCCCTCTTCTTTTTCTTTTTCTCTCTCTCTCCCTAACCAGCTCCGTCGTCGCCGTCCCGCCTCGGTTTTCTCTCCTATTACATGCTACGCTTCCTTACGTTTGTGAACTTCCCCTTTTTTTTTCTTTTTTTTTTCTTTTTTTTTGTTGATAAATTACAATCCTAGGTCCGTTTTAACAGCTGGGGAAATAGGCAATGGTCCTGTTTAGTACAGCTTAATTTCAGCTTATTTCAGCTTTCAGCTTAATTTAAGTTATTTTGATGTGTTTGGTTTAGTTTATAGCTTATAACTTTGTGGAAGTCAGAAAACAGCTTATTCTTTGAGTGGGGCAGGAGATGCTTTAAGAATAAACTGAAAATCAGCTTAAGCTGAAAGTTATAAGTTATAAGCTGTTTAGGCATAAGCTATAAGCACTTTCTCACAGCTCTACCAAACAGGGCCAATATGACAAATACCGAATTACATCATTCTATTTTTTTATACAATCTTTTTATTATAAAAAATCAAAAACCAATACACAAATAAAATAGTTAATTCTCAAACACCTTTTTAGACCTGGTTTGTTCGCTGACTTTTTGACTAATCAAAAAAATCAAAGCAATCAATTGCGTCACTTTCTTTATTTTTTTTATAAGTTTTACAAATTAATTAAACTAGTCACTTCCCAGATTCAAACACCTGTGTTTGAATTTTTTAAGATAGTTTTAATTTTTTTTTGTGTTTTGTTATCTTTATATTTCAGATAAATATATATATATATATATATATTTTAAATACATCTAATCTAAGGCTTAGTTTGACAACATCAAGTTTTAATTTAAAAATCATTACAAAAAAATTCAAATATATATATATATTTTTTTTTCACATTTTTCATATAAAAAAAATTATTAATTTTTAAGGAGAATTTATTAGGAAATCTTTTTCAAGTATTTGTATACCAATTAATTCATAAAATATTTTTGTTCCAATAAGTCTTATTATTTAGACATTTAAGTCTCGTTTGACAACTACATGTTTTAGCCAAAAAGTCAAAAAGTCACTATAAATTGTCACATAATTTTCTTTACTTTTCTGCTCATCTTTTTATAAAAAAGTAAAAAAATTACTAAAATAATTTGTTCCCAAACGAAGCCTTAATCCATCAATTCTTAATTCTCATATTTAAGATGTTTATGGATAATTGGAAAATGTTTGGTAGCTCAAAATTTTGTGACTTAAATGGCACAAATCTGTCAAAACGACGTCGTTTTACACTCAAAATCTGTCAAAACGATGTCGTTTTGAGTGATTTGAGCCATTTAAGTCATAAAATTTTGAGCTACCTAATATTGTTGTGGATAATTTTACCCATTACAAATATTTTTTAAACCCTTGGCAACTTTATGGTCTGAACATTCATATTTAACAATGTAAATGTTTACACGGTTAATATGAATATTAATGCGTGCTTCACCCTATTATTATTAGGATTATTTTGATATAGAACTTATTGGAATATAAGAAAATAATTTAAATTAAGTAAAATATATAAGTAGATAATGATGTATTTATAAATAAATACCTAAATTTTTAAAACATCTATAAGAGTGCTGCTATTAGCACCTACAAAAAATCTTTGAACCCCCTATTTCTTTAGATCCCAATCTTAAACCTTAAATTTTAATAATATTTTTTTGGACACCCCACTTATTACCAAATCTACCCATATTCATAATATTTTTACAATGAAATACACATCCACCTAATTTTTCATCCATCTCCTTCCCTAACTCACTCAATCTTCAGAGTTTTGAGCTTTGGTCTAGTACAATTCCTCCGACCTCCCCATTACATAAGAATGGTAATTCACTCTGATACCCTTTTTCACTATTGTCCCATCAGGCAACACGTCGTTCTTTAAAGCTTGCTTTCCGTCAATGGGGATGGATAGGTAGAGTCTCATGGTCTCGCTCAGTGACGCGTGTGTGTAAACCATGTCTTTCACCTCTTGGTAGATCGGAGCTTCGGATTTCTCATTGATTTCTTTGAGAATCTCAATTTCTACATCTGGATTTTTGGAGACAAGCTAGAAGAACCAGATTAAAGCTTTTATCTAAATGCCCTGAATTCAAGAATCAATAGGAGATCAGCAGATTCAAGTGATGATTTTGAATTTGTTCACCACTGTGTAGCCGAAAAAATGTATTTTGTTCAGAACTGTTTTGTCGAACAATAATGATCCTGTCAACACTGTATGTTCGAACAAAATTTGTTCATCACTGTGTAACTTGAATCCATTGCAATTCACAACTTCAAATAATATGAATTAAATCCATTCAAAATACATAACTTAAATCCATTCTAATTCACTCTTTTCCATTCTAAGTTAGTTTAACAAAGAAAATTACATAACTGATTATCTGCATTAATGTTCGGAACCTATGTATTGAACGAAAGGATTATGTTCAGTACTGTATTACCGAACATAATTCTAACAGTCAGCAAACCAGTACCAAATAGCTCGAACGAAACAAGAACGATCGAAAACGACCGAGAATGTTAATACAAGACAGATAAACTTATTAATGGAACGTCGGTCTCACTAGAATTGTTGTCCTTATCCTCCATTGCTCTACACAGTAAAATAAGTGATGAAGTATACGTTATATTTGAAGTAAAACTTTAAAGTTCAATAGCGTTGATGATGGTGATGAAGATGACGCATTCAGGATTTAAGATGATTATAAAAAATAATAGATTTAGGGTTTATATTAGTTGGTTATGAAAAGTAATAGGTTTAGGGTTTACAAACATGGAATACGTATAGTTGCAGTTGGAGGTGGGGGTGGGGGTCCAATATTATAGAATATTAGTTCTTATTGATAGGTGGGTGTTCCATTTAATAATGTCTTTTAATGTAATTTTACTTAATAGCAGCACTCCATCTATAAATGTGCTTACCAAGGAAAATTACACAATAGGGTATTTAAAAAATAATAATTACATATAATTACACAATAGGGTATTTAAAAAATAATAATTACATATAGATGATAAATTTTAACAATATCAATAATTAAAGTCATAAGTTTTTCTTTTTGCTTGAGACACTTATTAATTTATCCCCCCTAATAATATGTCTGACAAATGTCAAATTTGATTTGTCGAACATTCTATATGTGGGGTCTAACCTCAATGTCACATCATTAAGAGTCATTTAGAGATAATAAATTAAGGAAGTACAGCACTGTCGTTTCAAAAAATGTGTAATTATTTGTTCGAAAATATATTGATTGGTAATTTTTTTTTCTAGGGACATTTATTTATAAATTTCTTTTCACTTACCTAATCCAAATTATTTTTTTATATTTCAATAAGTTCTATGCGTAACATAATTATCAAAATATCCCTAATAATAATAGGATAAAGCGCGCATTAATATTCACGTTGACAGTGTGAATATTGCATAATGTAAATATTTATACTGTCAAATTTATTTAATGTGAATGCTCACAACACCAAGATGGTAAGGGTTCAAAAAATATTTATAAGGATATAATTGTTCATAAAATACCTTTAATATGAGAATTAGAATTTAGTTGATAAAATGTCTAAAATAATAAAACTTATTGAAATATAAGAATATCTTATGAACTAATTGTGATACAATTACTTAAAAATGATTTTTTAATAAATTTATTTATTTATTTAACTTAAAAAGTAAATTATGTGTGAATAAATTTTAAAAAAAATCAAAAAATATAAAAAATGATAAAAGTATTAAATATATATATTTGTATTTACTAAAAAAACTTTAATTTTTTTTCATAAATTTTATATTTTATAAGATCAATGTTACCTGCCTACACTTTCGTCCACAATGACGCGGTAAGGGAGTTGAGTCTTATGTCATTCAGGTTATGTTTGGTTGGACGGACTAGATAAGGGGATTAGAATTCATCGGACTTGAATCCTACGACTATGAATTCCCCTGACTATGTTGGATTGGATGTGTATCTCGAGTTTGTTTTCTTATTGGATTAGATGTCTGAAAAGGTCTGGAAAGGATTATTTTTAGTGAATCTAATATTTGGTTGGACGGACTGGATAAGGATAAATGAGCAAAATACTATTTTATTCATTTTCAATTGTTTACTAAGTAATAGTAATATTAAACATATCTTTAATATTTTAATTATTTTTGGTTAGATTAAATAAAAAATTATTTTTTAATTGTTTAAATAAAACATCTATTAAAACATGTATTAAATTTAAATAATGAAATTAAATAAAACATAAACAAAATTTTAAAATAAAACATCAATAAAATATCTATAAAAATTTATTTTAAAAAATTAAATAAATAAAGCATTGATAAAAAGTTAAATAAAATTATTTTATTTTTAAATTGAAACATTTAAATTTTATTAAATTTTACTAAATATAATACATAATTAAATAGTAGATAATCTCAACAGTAAATAATCCTATGAAAATTGTCCCACGCCCCCTCAGAGTAATCCCACACATGTGGGATAAAGAGTCTGGCTGGACTCCATATCCGGTGGACTAAAAAAAAACGAACGCCGAACTATTTGGTTCCAATGAATTACAATCTAAACAGTAAGTAACTCCCCAATCAAACACACCCTTAATGTATAACAAATTAAGAGTTAATACCACATCATTGCATACAATTATGTATCTCAAATATTTTCCATTTTTTAAATATAACTGGATTAAGTTAATTTAAAAACAAAACAAAATAATTAAAATATTTATAAAAAAAAAAGTATGAAATACAAAAGTGAGTAGCAAATACCCATCCTTTAGGACCAAAGTGAGAAGAAACCCCGTATTTTATGGGTGAAAGTGTAATTTAACTTTATTAAAATCACGTTTTCCGTTTTTTTTGCCAAATCACTCCTCTCTCTCTCTCTCTCTCTCTCTCTCTATCTAAGCTCTGAGAAACGGAAATGGCGAACCTGAGAAATAATAATTACAGAGAATCAACACTGTCAAATCATTCAAATGCTTCGAATTCAGGTACTGTCTCTCTTCTTATACTCTCCTCTTATATGAACTTTCTTCGTAACCTGAAACTCCAAAAACAGCTCAATTCAAAAGCTTCAAATCCATGAACTTTTACCAATATTATATTATTATTAATTTTTTTATTTTTCAAGTGAATTATTTCAATTTCTTAGTTTGATTTTTGAATTGATTCGATGTAAGTCACATCCTGATTTTTTGAAGATATTCAATTTCAGAAGTTTTAATCTGAAACTAAGAGAACTCTCAATAAACGCATTTATCTAAATTTTGATTCAATAGCCAAAAGGTTGAACTGAATTGTTTTATTATATGAGCGATTTGTGGAACATTTGTTGCTTAGATGTTGTAATAAACTTAAATTTAGTTGATTATGGGGTATGAAGTTTGAGATAATGGAAGTTGTACATATTTGCACTCTTTGGATGAATAAATTCAATACACTAAAGTTTTTAAATAATATATGAATCAGTGTATGGTATGTGATTTGTCACATTATTCGAGATTTTCACATTCCAGATTCTGAAACTTTTCAAAATTCATAATAGAAGTTCTGTAGTTTGATTTTGATTGGTTAATTATTAGGGACAAGCTTTTGTCAGTTTCTTATCTTTTTCTTGCCTCTTTGAGATGTAAATTATGAGTTTTCTGAGTACTTGAGCTTTTAAGTATAGATGTTGGACTTTTAACGCATAATGTGACTAAATAGTTGTTGAATATTGACACAGTTCTGAAATTTAGACTTCAAATGAACTTAATCCTTGTAAGATTATTGCTTATGGATGATAAAAATATATTAGTTTTTTGTAATTTTGAGAAAAAACTTGTCAGATTTGGTTAAGTTGTGCTTGAAGTTGCTTTTGAAAATGGTTGGTTGATTTTCCTTTCTTTTTTTTTTTTGGTTTTTTTGTTTTGTAATATGCATTTTCATTTGGAATTTCACTTTATTTTTTGTCACTTTTTTTATTTTCTTCTTCTTTTTTTCTTTTTCACCTTTTGAGTCTTGTTTTGATGACTTTGTTCTTGTTGGATTATTGAGATATGGATTTAGGGTATCATTCTACAAACATTGTCTTATTGACTAGTCCTGCAGTTAAGTTGGGATCCTTGGAAGCTGACTAGTTGACCAGGAGGCTAAACCACAATATTAGGTATTACATTGGTCTTGATGTTTGTCAAGGGACATGCAATGCTTTAAAGCCCCGAGCCTATAATTTGAATTCTTTTTGTCACAAGTAGGAAAACACAAACACTAGTGTAAACAAGTGAGTACAAAATGCGAGCAAGGTTAGTTACTGGCTGATGTATTATTTTTTACTAAGTTTGGATCCTCAGCCATGTTGTGTCCTTCCTGGTTAGCAATCATTTAGACTTTGCAAACCTGTAATAATTAGTTGATAAAGCTTGCATTTCTCTTCATTTTATGATTTCTTATCTGTATCATGTGCCTACAAAATCTGGTCGTAGATTTTGTTGTCTAATGGCTCCGACTATCGTTGCCATTTGATAGTTGAAAGGAGTGGATATTTCAACTGGTAGGATATATTGTAATGAACTATGAGTACCTTGCCTGTAATTCCCCAGTCAGCTTGAAATTTTGAAACTTACAACTAAGAGTTTTAACTAATTCAATAAGATATTCACCATAATTGCTTACTTTAATATATATAATGGTGATTATTTGTAGTAAATATTCTGCTTGTTCCTCAATTCCTCATTTGCTCATGGATATCAGGCTTTCAAGGGTTCAAATGTCATAGATTGCTGATTGTCATGCTGCTTGATCACGGGAAACTGAATTATTCCTTGTTGATATTAATATAATATACCATCTTTCCTCTTTCTTAAGTCCTATGTAGAGGAGACAATGTGCTGTTGATTTCATTATACTGCTACCTTCTTGTTGGCAGATTTCCTCTGAAGAGGAGGTCATTTCATGTCTCTGATACATAGGCTTGGCATCCTTTGGAGTAAATTTTGTAGATACTTTGTTGTAGATCTTGTGTTCAGAACTTTGATGCCAACATCATCTGTATGGTCTAGAAACTTTTCCAATAACATGTGAACTGCTACTTTTTTTTGTTGTTTTTATTTGTTTATTTATTTTTGTATTTAAATTGGGAGTTGAAAACTCTAAGCTGCAAAAAAATTGGCCATAAACAAGCATTTTTTGATTGTAACTTCACCAAATTATCTGCATGAGATTTATCTTGTTTCATTTAATGCAGGTGTTGCAGGGGTTTGTATGATGAGTAACACATGGAAAGATGAGCAGCACCCACCCTTCATCAACTTCATCTCCTCTTTCCTTAGTGCAAATTCTTTCCGGCTTAACTTTGTCCCAATTGCCCCTGTAATTGCCTTCCTATGCTCATTTTTAGCAATAGAATGGCTGATCAATTGACTGTAAAGTTTGTTATTTGTAGGATTTTATTTTCAACTGTGGGGGTTTGTCGGTGGCTTTCATGTTTGTAACAAACTGGGATTGCAACGACTCGTTGCCTATCTTTTGCAGGTGACCTGTTGTTTCTGATTTGTTCCTCTTGTTTTGTGCTCTACTTATTGTGGTCTGTTTGGTACAGAGTTCAGAAACTGAAGGGGCAGTTTGCAAACCTCTATGTGGTTGTTACTCTCCCAACAAAGGAGCAAAATGATTCCTTTGTTTGCTCTTATTTCAAGTGAGTTTTCTGTGCAACTGCTCAAATTGATTTATTGTTAGCAAGGTTCTATCTGATTAAGAAGAACTTCAATTCTGTTTTACCTTGGCAAAGATATGGAATGGAGCTTGGTGGGCCAATATTTGTGCCAGTTCAAGACTTAGAGATGGGTTTTGAGAAAATTTTGAAGATTGCACATGCTCGTGGGGGTAATACCCTATTCTCCAAAGCTCACTATGACAAATCCTTTAAGGTGACTCTTTAACATGACAGCATATATTGCAGTATGTAAGAGGCAGGATGCTGTATCTAAATTGAAGGATGAGGTAAGTCGGTTGGACTTAATTTTTTGGAGAAATTACATACACCAAAAAGAAGAAGAAAAAAAGAGAGAGTTTGACCTTTGTAACAAATTAAACATTGAATTTTTAATTTCTTTAATTGAAACCCTAACCTTTTAAATTAAGCACAATTCCAATCATTTGTAATCCCCGTTAAGTTGTCTAACAGAGGATTGCAATACACATGGCATTTTGTCTTTCGCTCTTTTCCATTGATATGAATACCAACTTTAAACTTGAACACACCATATCACAACCATCATTTATCAACCATTCATTAGATCATAACCACCCATCATCAACATGACTATGTAGGATCATGCCCCTCCCATTCCCCCAGCCATTGCCTCCTCCCCATCCCATTTACACTGCCACTGCCCCCTCCCTTTCCCCCTTCCCCCGCTACTTGGAGAAGACCAAAACCTTGATTTGGTTTTTGGTTTGTTCTCTGCATGTGGCTCGTTGTGTTTGAAGCAATTTTGATGGGTTTTGTTTGTATTACTTATTTCTGCGGTAATTCGAATCTTGGCCTAAACTAAGAAATCTTTCTTTTTAATACAAGCTGGGGTTTAGAACACATGCTTTTTCAAGATGGTGGTTGCTGGGGAAGGGATGGGTTGTGGTAGGAGGTTGTGGTGGTGGTGAGGGTGGCAGAGATGGTTATGGAGTTTGTATATGTATATTGTATATTGTATGTATATATGTATATATTGTTAATTGATAAAAATGAAGAGAGGAATTGACAAAATTGTCCCTTTTCTGTTAGAAGTTTTAACAGGGATGGACGGATGGTTGGAATTGTTCCCAATTTAAAAGTTAAGGTTTAGATTGAAGAAATTAAAAATTCAGAGTTTAATTGTTTCAAGGATCATACCCGCATTTTTTGCCCCTCTAATTTTTAACTGCTGCTTATCTACTGGTATGGTGGTATGTTTTCAATCTCTATTTCTAAAGTACCTAAAACCTTTATTCTTGCAAAGAGGGAGAGATCAGTGCAAAGGATGGACGTTTTTCTCAGAGTGGTCACATCCATTCCTGGCATTAACAACCATGATGCAAATGCGGTAATAAATTTCAATCCTGTTAACAACCCTCTTTGGTTTATACTTTTATTTTTTAGGATTTATGCTATACCATCTTTTTAGTCCTTACCAATTTGGTTGATCATGTAATGGTCTTAACAGCCCCAGTAGGCCAGTTTGGTCGGCCAACATTTAGAGGTCGGTTGACCAAGACTGTCAGGTCTCTTGGCTGACCAAACCACATAGGTTCGTCGACCAAACTAAAGTTTTGAGAAGAGTTTTATTGTACCTATAGCGTGGTCGATCAATTTAGAAACTTTGGTCAATCATTTTGGTAAACAAAATTTGACCCCATAAATACATGACCTTCCACATATCATAACATTGACGTAGTAGGAATTCTTGAGTAAACTAATTTTAAATGAAACTATATCATTAGTTTGGCCACAAATTTCCCCCTAATCAGAATTAAAATGAGTGAGTTATAGCCTCAGTTCAGCAATCCTCCAGGCTGCAGCCCCACTCACAATCCTCAGTTTTCTTGGCTTTCTTCATACTCAAAAACTCTTTAGGCTGTGGCATATAAGCCGGGACCAGCCCCACTCACAATCTTCAGTTTTCTTGGCTTTCTTCATCCTCAAAAACTCTTTAGGCTGTGGCATATCAGCCGGGACTAAATCCTCTGCACCAAAGTTTGCAAACTGATTTTATTTTCATCGTATACATGAATTCATTAGAGAATCCACGTATGTGGTAAACATCCTCATTATTTGGGTTTGGAATGTTCAACTATTCAATTTCAATCTAGGATCTAGAAAGAGACAAACGTTAGAGCGAACGTGTACATAATTTTTATTGTTAAGTCCTTCCTCCCGTCAAAGAGAAGAAGCGTACACATTTAGATTTTAGAATTTTACTGAATTTTGTTATAACCTCTGCATTCTTTTAATGATATGTTTGGCTTATTCCTGACATTTAAGTAATTTCCTCAACCTCTTTTAAATTGTCACAAGTGGAAACTTGAGTATATGTCGAGAAAACTGAGTCCACTTTTTTTCATATTTATTCTGGTTTGACATTTGCGAGTTTTAGATCCATTGAGTGTTTACTCTAAGTCTGCTTTGTGAAACATTTAAGTTAGTTGACTATATGTATAACTTCTTTGACTTCTTCCTTTTTCAGCTTAATCAAGCCATTGGTTCAATTGAAGCAATAGCTAAAGCATCCAAGGAATTTATCTTGGAAAATACAGACCTTTCGGCTGACAAAGCCGAGACGATAATGAGGTTTTTCAGAGATCCAAAGTTTTACCTCAGTGCCAAAATCGTTTGGCAGAAGATATAGTTTCAAACTCGACACAGCTGGAGTGAATACTCCACCAGCCTTAAGGTGTTCTATTCGAATTCTCATATTTTTTTCAAGAACTATGTTCCTCTGGTTTAAAATTATACTACATTTGAACCACTAATATAGCAATGCAAAATTTGAGCAACCAACTAGTTTTATCCTAGTACATAAGGGGACTAAAAAATAAATTATTTTTTAAAAAAGCCACAGATTCTATTAACTGCAATTCTATCCTCATTTCTACCAGAAAGAATGAAAGGAGAGAAAAGAAAATACTCAAATAAGCTTTGATTGAGGAAGCTTTTTTTTCCAGCAATTCTTTTGTTTCTCTTGATTTTCCTGAAAACCAAACAGACATTTGAAGTTTGGGTAAATATCTGTAGATATTTAGTTCATCAGTTGCTGATTGAATTTTTTATGAGTTAAACGCGCTAAACGTTCATTTTAATCAGTGTTCTTTCATTCTTATCTTATGTTCCATTCTGCATTCTACTTTTCGCATTCAAGTTATATCTCCTAAATTTTGATTTTTTTTTTTTTTTTTTTTCCCCGCACATTTCAATCTGACAGGTGGTGGATTTTTATCAGAACATGATGTTGCTACTATTGAGGAAAAGGAATTTCAACTCTGTTATGAATGAAGGTCTGTTTGGAAACCAAGAAATCAGCTACTTGGATATGCACCTCTGCTCTGATCCTACAGGAATTCCGAGAATGAAAAATCATGTTTGGTGCTTCAAGAAAAATCGGAAAACACACCTTAGTTGTTGTTTTTTGTGAGGTTCTTGTTATATAATACACGATGATAAACTGCAAATTTTAAAATTTAAACATTTGTAGTTTGATCCTTATTTGGTTTATCATAAAAATAAAACATTTTTTTTTGTCCTGCCAAGTCTTTACGATGAGCTTCTGTAAGGGAAAAGAAAATAGAATAGGGCAAAATAGGTTTTACCATTTCTAATTTGGATTTGGAGTACCTCATCCCCTCGCATTTAAAAGTAACCAAAGAATTCTCATTGATTTTGAGCTAAAATATAATGTTAATGTTGTTAATGAAAATTACAAAAGAACTGTGGGGATATATTTTCTGAGTACCAACACGTGGCAAGGTAACGCCGACGTGTCAGCCGAGGTGCCACGTGTCTTGGTCGTTGTGCCGAGGTCATCTCGACTAGGCCGAGGTTGCCTCCGAAGATATCAGAATCCGAGATAAGCGGATAAGGGACAAGAGTCCTAGAATGAAGAGGAAACTCAACTTGGATATGGACAAGAGTTCTAGATTGAGAGAAGACTTCAGTTTGGGTAAAGATAAGACTCTTAGAGAGTTTATCCTAATCCTACTGGGAGTCCCAGATTAGCAGTAATCCTAAGTCCATTAGGACCGGGCTCCTTTTGGGACTAGGATTGTATTGGCTATAAAAGAGAGGCACCCCCATGGGTCTAAGGTATGCTTTTGATACTCAAGCTTGGGAGTTTAGTATTTGATTTATCTTTGAGAGATATACTGACTTGATCGTCGGAGTGCCCCCGGGTGGTCGAAACCACCGCGGGATTCTTATATTTCTGTTGCAGGTTAGTCAGGTGCCATTTATTCTGCCAGTGCTCTCCAGCTGGTTACTAAGCGGGCAGTGTGGTCGAAAAATCACCCACACAATTTGGCGCCGTCTGTGGGAAAGAAAGAAGAATAGATGGCCTATGACGGACAGAAGGATCAGACTGGAGACAACGCTCTTGCTGGGAATAGGAGATCTATCAACCTCGACGTTAAATAGGACAATAGCAACACAGAAACTCGTGACCAGAGTCACGAAGTGAAAGAAGCCGGTCAGGAAGGTGACGCACCAAAGACGACAGATCGAAGCAACGGAGATGACCTCCAGGTATGGAAGGATAGATACCTGCGGAGGAACGAAGACCATTCCAGAAGAGATGCAAAGACAGGGGGCATGAGCGCTCCCAAGGAAACAACATTCAAGTATAGAAGAACTCATCCTGAGTGAGCAGATCCCGGATTCCAGATCTTGGATCCCGGATCCGAGAAGACATGATCTCATCCTAGATGAGTAGGTCCGAGAAAAGAAGAGCTCAACCTGAATGAGCAGATCCAAGATTCCAGAAGATAAGATCTCGGTACCTGAGTCCGAAGAAGAGAAGAGCACAATGAGCAGATCTCAGATCCCAGAAGATAAAAAGGAAACATACAAGATCAGACTAAAGTTGGCCAGAATTGAAAAGTATGCTAGAGCCGAGGAGGACATGCCGGGAACAAAGGCATCGGAACAAGAAAAGAGAAACGGCTCGCCGATGCGAGACCGAAAATCAAACTCAGGTTAGAACCATGTAAGATCAATAGAGAAACCAAGGCCGACAACCTCGGCTTGAATTAAACCTCGGCGACAAGGTCGAAGCTACATGTATGATGAGAACCCAAGTGGATTTTAAGTTCACACTGGGAGGGCAGAGAGAAGAAGAATGCGTTTACCACTTGTTGAAATTTGTAGTAATTTACAAGTTGGTTAAACCAATATGATGCTTAACCGAAGTTAAGCCCAAATGATGTTTAACCGAAGTTAAACCGAGACAATGCTTAACCGAAGTTAAGCCGAGATGATGCTTAACCGAAATTAAGCCCAGATGATGTTTAACCGAAGTTAAACCGAGACAATGCTTAACCGAAGTTAAGCCCAGATGATGCTTGAAGTTAAGCTGAGATGGTTCCTTATCTTCACTTATTGAAATTTGTAGCAATTTACAAGTTGAAGTTAAGCCGAGATGGTTCCTTAATTCACTTGTTGAAATGTGTAGCAATTTACAAGTTGGAATTAAGCTGATTCCTTATCTTCACTTGTTGAAATTTGTAGCAATTTACAAGTCGAAGTTAAGCTGAGATTATTCCTTAATTCACTTGTTGAAATGTGTAGCAATTTACAAGTTAGAATTAAGCTGATTCCTTATCTTCACTTGTTGAAATTTGTAGCAATTTACAAGTTGAAGTTAAGCCGAGATTACTGTTTCTCTTTACTTGTTGAAATTTGTAGCAATTTACAAGTCGGAGTGAAGCCGAGGTTATAGTTTGCACACCTATAGCAATCTACAGGTTGATCCAACCAAAGAAGATGCTTAACACTTGTTGAAATTTGTAGCAATTTACAAGATAATGTTAAGCCAACATATGATCATCTGTTGAAATTTGCAGCAATTTACAGGTTGAGGTAAAAGCTAAGTATATTGTTTAAACACTTGTTGAAATTTGTAGCAATTTACAAGTAGATCATTCTTATAACTTGAGAAAAATTTACGGTATATGATTAACACTTGTTGAAATTCGTAGCAATTTACAAATAGATTATTGTTTAACACTTGTTATGTTAATCCTTGTTGAAATTTGTAGTCAATTTACAAGTAGGCTAAGACCGAGATCACCGTTTAAACACTTGTTGAAACTTGAGAAAAAGTTTGCAAAGTTAACATTGAGTAGTATATGTTTCACACTTGTTAGAAATTATGAAAAGTTTGCAGGTCAGTATCTTATCGAAGTAAAAGTTTTATACCCGAGGTATGTAACCCGAGAAGATTGCACAAAGATGGCAAAGTATGAAAGGCATACAAAATATTCTAAGTATAGAATCATGCAATAGGGACAAAGAGGAATATCAAAACAGAAATTCGGTGCTCGACACGCCTTCACCTTACAACATCATCTGGGCATAGGTCTGATGCAATGGGGCAGTTCCCTCAACGTTGCATCAACTATTGCGGTTCCCCACAGAACATGGGATTGAAGAAGTCAAAGGAGACCAACTGCAGGTAAAGAATTACTCCATGGCAGCAATGAAAACTACCTGCAACATTCGGGAACCAGGGAGGCAGAGATTGAAGACGAGGACATGGAGGTCCTAAATGATGTCGACAAGAGGCCAGCCAAAAAGAGTGAAGAGACACTGAAGAAAATCCTCGTCTAGGAGGGCGACGAAGAGCACTTCATTCAGAGAAGGAAAGTTGAATTAGACATTTAAGAACAAGGAGGAGCAATCGGCCATATGTAGAGCTTACATTATCTAAAGAACAAAAAGGTACAAGAGTACAAGCGACAAAAAAGGAAAAACTTCAAAAACTGAGATGATGCTTAACCGAAGTTAAGCCGAGATGATGTCTAACTGAAGTTAAACTGAGGTGATGTTTAATTGAAGTTAAACTGAGATGATACTTAACTGAAGTTAAACCGATATGATGTTTAACACTTGTTGAAATTCTGAGAGAATTTACAAGTTAAAGAGTGCACAAATTAAATGTCGACAAAAGATTCGCCGGAGTCAAACGTCGTTTTGATTAGAAACCACTAAGTGCATGCCAGAAGTGGTGACCAGAATTGTGAAAGAAATAAATGCTTCAAGAAACAGCGATGATAGTTTGCAAAGGCCAAGAGAAAGAGGGTCTAAAGGGGGTGAATTAAATACCAGAAGTTTAATACATCGGCGAAAGAAGAAACACATCAGGTCTGTGACTACAGCACGAAGCCCACTTCCCTAAATGTGATCCTAAGTACAACTTATGTTCACATTAGGGGGCAGGGAGAAGGTGTAGGGGGAAAGAATAATAATTAAGGAGCAAGGAATATTAACACTTATTGAAACTTTTTACAAAATGAGTAAACCGAAGATTATGAAGTCTACCACTTGTTGAAATTGTAGCAATTTACAAATTTGGTATAGCCGAGATAAACACTGAAAGACGTTTCCGAGAATGATCAACCGAGATGACCAACTAGCTTGTTAAGAGCTGAGAAGGTTGGCAAGTACAAAATGAAGACCTTAAAGAACTAGGACTGAAAGCAAGAACGTCGGACTAATCCGCTTCGACGGACGACAATGGTTTCAGCCTTGGCAGTCAGTTGGAGGAGCTTCTTTACCGCTACCTCGGCATCAATTTCAAGAAGGAAGCAAACTACTCGGCATCAGCGGTAGGTTGTGTCTCACCCCCAGAAGACAGTTGGAAAGAACTTCTCAGCAGCCTTCTCAGCCACGAGCTCAGCATCAACCTTCTGAAGAGTTTGATCAAAGCTCTTCTTGGCGATTGGCACCTCGGAGTTTGAAGGCAAAGATTGAAAGCAAGAATCTAGAAAAAGACATAGAAAACAGAAACAAGAATGTAATTCGTAATCAAGAATGGTGATGAAGCTACCAAGAAATCAAGACAAAAAGATTGCACAAGTGTGTCAAGCCAAGAACAGTGGTAGAAATCAACAGATGTGTGAACAATGTGTATTCAAGAAGATATTTGGAATAACGGGTAAAACAACAATGGTGATTAAACAATGAAGCAAGTTTCTTGGAAAGCAACAAGAAATAAAACCAGGAGGAACAGTGGCTTACCAGAAAGAGGGAAGCCGGAATGAGATTTGCCGAAGTCTGACGACAATGATAGAATGACGTAAAGCTTCACCGGATGAGAGAAACGAAGACAGTTGCAGAAGCTTGAAAGCTGTAACAAATGACGAATTTAAGCAAAAGAGCTAGAAAGAGAAGAAGCCAAAGGATTAAATGAGAAAAGAGAAATAGTCAAGAAGGCAACAAAGTTCATGAATAAAGCCAAGTACACAGGCACTAAGTAAGTATGTGGAGAACAAGAAAGTAATGACTCAGACATGATGCTAGTAACAGAAAGCGGATATGACAAGAACAGTGCCAGGTATTCAAACAATTCAAAACTTGAAGACAGACGAAAATAGAAGGCAACAGATGGCAAATAAAACAGATTCAAAGTAAATCAGTAGAGTTATAAAAGATTGAGCTTAATAGCAAGTAAAGAGTTTATGAACCTACAAAGTAAAATGAACGCCGATATGAAGATCGCCGGAGTCAAATAGATGACAGAAGTCAAGAACCCACCGAAGAATATGAGTGGAGCAATTGCAAAGCTCTTGGAGTTTACGAATTAATGAAACAAGAACCTCAGCTAGGAGATGCGATTTCAAGCAGCTTGGAAAGCATGAAACTTGATCTTGACACCAGTGGACAGTAAAGTCCAGGGAACTTTGAGGTCGGCAAGTTTGATCTCGGACAGAGGGGCACAGATGAATGAACAGTGTAGGTTCCATCACCTCAAAATGCCGAGGTAATAGAACCTAGGGGGCAGTTTGGGGATATATTTTCTGAGTACCAACACGTGGCAAGGTACGCCGACGTGTCAGCCGAGGTGCCACGTGTCTTGGTCGTTGTCCGAGGTTGCCTCCGAAGATATCGGAATCCAGGATAAGCAGATAAGGGACAAGAGTCCTAGAATGAAGAGGAAACTCAACTTGGATATGGACAAGAGTTCTAGATTGGGAGAAGACTCAGTTTGGGTAAAGATAAGACTCTTAGAGAGTTTATCCTAATCCTACTGGGAGTCCCAGATTAGCAGTAATCCTAAGTCCATTAGGACCGGGCTCCTTTTGGGACTAGGATTGATTTGGCTATAAAAAGAGAGGCACCCCCATGGGTCTAAGGTATGCTTTTGATACTCAAGCTTGGGAGTTTAGTATTTGATTTATCTTTGAGAGAATATACTGACTTGATCGTCGGAGTGCCCCGCGTGTGTCGAAACCACCGCGGGATTCTTATATTTCTGTTGCAGGTTAGTCAGGTGCCATTTATTTCTGCCAGTGCTCTCCAGCTGGTTACTAAGCGGGCAGTGTGGTCGAAAAATCACCCACACAAGAACTTTTATTTTATTTATTTTTTATACTGGCTTCGTTTGAGAAGTTGCTATTTTAGTAGGCTATTTTAATTTTGACTATTTTAGTTGGTTAAAATTTTTGTGTTTGGGAATATGATTGGATTTTTTTTGGTTGGATGTGATGTTTGTGAGAGAAAAAGTGAAATGATTATGGGTTTGATATGATATTTATCTTATTAGCTATTTTAGCTTATTTTGTCTTTTTGTGAATTTTAGCCTAAACTAAGCTATTTTTTTCTTGCCAAACACTCCCATGTATCCTAAGAGCATCTCCAATGGTAATAGACATTTTACCTATCTAAACATTATTATAAAGTATACATTTTATTTTGCCTATCAACTGTTTCATGTTTCTGCTCCAACCATGCTCTTTATTTTAGCTATTCGTCCAAATACTATTAATTTTATAAAATGCCACATCAGCAACAAAGATGGAGGGAAATAATCATAATGATTAAATACATTTTGCCTAGTCTTAAAGGCTAGCTACATGTAGCTAGTGAATGTGAGTTGAACTAAAATGCCTAATCACATACCTAGTGCATTGAGTTAAAAAAAGTGAGTCATACTAGGTATTTTACCTAACAAACATTATATCCTAGTGCGTTTGAGATGCTCTAACCTAAGAAGGTAAACTCGAGCTTCAAATTCTGAACAATACATATTATATACATATTAGTAAATATAATTTTATGCATCATATAATGCATATATATACAAACTAAATTATTTATATGGTAATTCATAAATTTTTATTCAATTGCATAATACCGTCCAGGCTAGCCTCCTAAGCCAATCCCATCGTACAGGATTTAGAATAATATTTTTAGTTCAAACCTGACTCCATTAACAAATAGACATATTTTGGCTTGGACTAATCCAACCCAACTCGATGCCAACCTTTTATTTACATGAATTTAGGGGTTAAAATGACATATTCTTTTTATGAAACTTTGATAATTTAAAAAAAAAATACTATAAAATTTCATTCTTTTATGAATTCTTAATAAATTATAAACTGCCTGTTTGAGATAACCTAAATAAATCATCTATTTTTTATTTTTTTTTTGCGCTTTTAGTGATATTTTTTAAAAATTATGTCAGTTTTCTTTCTAGTTCATTTTGTGTAGATAAATTAAAAAAAAATTATTGTAAAAAAAAATGTAAACAAGTCAAAATAAGCTAAGATATTTACTATTTTGTACTTATTTTTATCTTTTCTAAACATTATTTTAAAAAATTTTAATTGTGTGGTTTATCTGGTTGGGTAGAGTTTACAAACCTAAAATTTTAAAAAATAAATTAATTAATTAAACAAAAATAAGCTAACCTAAAAAAACAAATGAATCTTCCGTAGAATATATGACTATATTCATTTGGCAGCTAGTAGATTGGGCATCTCTAGCTTCTTCTTCTTCTTTTTTGAATTATTTTAGGTTTAAAATAATTTTTTTTATAAAAAACTAATATATAAATTTATTTTGTAAATTCACCTTTTAAATTTAATGATGTATCGATAAAATAATTAATTAATAATTAAAAATAAATAAAAAATAATTAATTAAATATTTTAATAAAATATTCTATCATTAAATTTTAAAAATATGTCTAATTTTTAATCTCAATGACAATAATATTATTTGTATAAGAAAAATGAGTGGAAGGTTTAATTAAAGCCACCACCAATGATGTAGCAGTGAGTCAGACCCACTATCACAGTATGTTTTTTATTTTTCTTTTTTTCTTTGTTTTTTTTAGTGGGTTTAGAGCCACATCATTGTTGTTTATGCTGATATTCTCATCATCATTGAGATGGCATGGTTTGGGTGTTGAAAGCTGAATAATCCGAAGTTCCCCAAAATCTTTCTTCTCCGTAGCATCAAAGCTTCGAACCAAGGTCTCTCTCTCTCTCTCTCTCTCTCTTCTTCAATATGCTGAATATTGCTTACATGCTCTTCAATTTTTTCGCTGTTGCTATGTTTATTGGATTTTATATATATGCTTAAATGTATGTAAGGGTTACAAATTGAACACTTTATACTCTGTTTGGCTGCAAAGAAATTTCAATCACCGAAAAAATGAATTCAGACTTTGATGTTCTCATTCTTTTTTAAGCCGAGAAAACTAAACCAGCATTATATGAGTATTTGAGAACCTAGTTGGCTAATACAACTGTATTATTTATGGCTCGGTTGAATTGAACTTCTCAGTTGTTAAACTTGTTTTTTCCCTAAATATTTTAAATAAATAATAAATAATCTCCTAATTTTCACTGTTTTGATTGCACATAATTGAGTAATTGTTTTGGCTTCATTTAGTTGATGGAATTTTTTTTTTTTTTTTTTTATAGTTGTTATTAGTTTGAGATGGTTTGTGATTTGTTCTTACTATTTTGGTTTGTCTTTGTGATCATTTAATTTCAATGGAAGCTGTAAGTGTGCATCCATTTTTCACTTGTCGGTCAATTGTTCTATAAAATGCTTCAACTAGAAAAGTTTTAAATCTTGCTGTTGGTTGACATTTTCCCAATTTAAATATAATTTTGATACTCCAGAGAAGTCTCATTACATACATCTGAAAAATCCTTCACAAAACATTAATTTTTGTCACTGAATGGATTCAATCTTCAATGTGTTCAAAAGTTGTTTGATGAAATGCTTGACTTGTTACATGTGGTTCCCTCTCATACACATATCCAATAGATACTAAACTGGCATACTTTATTCTTTGATTTTTGGAATTTTTTTGCTTTTTTTTTATTTTTTATAACTGTTTGATTTTTGTTTCTCTAACTCTCGGATCTCTCTTCCCCACCCCTCTCTGATCTCCTTCTCCCTTGCCCCCTCCTGAAACCTCCTCTCCCGCCTCACTTGTTTCTCGCCCCTGCAACTCTTACCCTCCATATCTGCCAAAAAAATTATGTGTGGTCAGATGTGCGTATCATATTCTTTGGTTTCACCCGTCCCAACCACCACGCTGAATGACCCAATGTGTGCAGTTTCAAACAAAACATTGGTTAAAATTGGTTGAGCATTCTTTCAACCCAAATGGGTCAGATCAGGTGGCGGGCTGACAGTGAAACCAAACCGGTGATCCCGAGCAGAAGAGGTGTCAAATTTTGCAATTCGTTACAAAAGAAAATTAAAAAAGTTACTGCCTTTTAATTCATTAATTAGCTAAACACATTATTTAATTTGTCGTAGACTGAATGAATGATATCACTTACATTGTTTCTTTTGAGATTTGAATTTAATTGCCAATGCTTTTCTGCTGTTCGGTTTTCTCATGGTTATAAAACTCATTTCCCCCCATCAAAACTGGTGGGCAGGGCAAGTTCTTCCGCTGCTATGAATGCAATGGAGAGAGAAAAGGAGAGTCAAAATGTGGATGAAACGCACAGTAGAAATGAGAATACATCACTAGTTGAGATAAAGGTATTGTTCTTTGCTCGGGCTAGAGATATTGCCGGCTTGACTAATATGCCATTGGAGGTGTCATCAGGGAGTACTGCCCGCGATTGCTTGGACAAGCTTATTGCCAAGTTTCCGGGCCTGGAAGAGATCCGGGGGTGCATGGTCCTCGCTCTCAATGAGGAATACGCACCTGAGTCTGCAGTTGTTAAAAATAGAGATGAATTGGCCATCATACCTCCCATAAGTGGAGGCTAAAACTTTCTTATGTAGGTATATTCTTTTCCTGCGTTTTTGTTTTAGGGGCTTTGAGTTGAACCTTTGAGGTTAATGCTTGCTTTGTACCAAACCTACTCTCTCTGCTATGATTCACAGGTAAATCTTGTGGCTCGAGTATATATCATTGTTCTGTTCACATATTTTCACTGTGGTGAATGAATGCTACCCTTTTATATGAAGGGTCTGTTTGGAGATCCATTTATTTTAATTTCATATTATTTTATTACATTATTAAGTCAACAATTAGTGAAATATCACTCTATTTCCTCATCTTCAAAACCATATATTTAGACCATTAAATTATTTTTAAATAAAAAATATCGTTTTCTTTGAGGTGTGAAAGTGGTGCAATTTATAGTTGTATGAGTCTAAATTTATGGTTTTCAAATTGAAGGGATGAAGTGATATTCAACTATTGTTGAAAAAATATTTATGTGATTAACACTTAATTTTATTAGGAAGTTTAAATTATAAATTATGCTGACTTCTTTTGAGATTTAGAGAAAATAAAATAAATTTCAGAAGCTTGATATAATTACATTAAAGGGAAGTGATTGAGACTCCCTCCAATCACCACTCCCACACACGTGGCGGGTGGTGATTGGAGGGGAAGGAAAAAGAAAAAAGAAAAAAGAAAAACTGGCCAATCAGAGAGAGAGGGGGGTCAAAGGGGGTGTCTACTGGAGGGGTCCAACTCATTTTTCTACATTAAATTTTTTTTAAGAACATGGGAAACAATTTATCAATAAAATAATAAGAGTACATAAATAAGATTTCAAAGGGTCATTCCAACCAAACAAATAGATAAAAAAATAAATAAAAAATCTATCAAAAAATAGGTATAATTCAGAAAAAACTACCGATCTACTCAAAGATGGAAAGCAAGATCTGTTTGAAAGTCCGCCGTCCCTGCCGACAACGTCCCCGTCGCCATGCCTAACGCCGCCGCTGCCACTGTCGCTAGAGAAAGAAGAACACCAATAATGGTATGGGAGAAGGGTTTTAGAGAGGAGGGAACCATTGTGGGTGTCGAAAAATAAAAAATTTATGCCGAATTGGAGGAAAAAACTTTCAAAACTCCTATTTCGGATATAAAAAGTCTAGATTTACACTCTAAAACGGTAGGTCTATACTCTAGGAGTGTAGATCCACATTTTAGAAGTAGAAAAAGTATCGCTGGAGCTTCGCTGGGAATCACCTAGAGAGAGAGCTCTGGACCTAATTCCTTTAAGATTTTAATTGTCATCTTTTTGACCTTTTTACATTAAAATGTATATTTTTACTTATTTATTTTTATTTCTTTACACCATCTGTATTGATTTCAGTCCTTTTAACTTTACAAAATAAAAGAGAGATCAATGTAATTATGTCAAAATTATATACTTAGTTGTATTTTTTAAAAAAACTTCGGAGGCAGTCAGTGTAATTTACTCCAAAAAGTAAATATATTAATTCATGTCCTTATTGATGATGGAGGCTCATGTAGAAGTATCAATTAACCTAACAAACTCGTTAATTCCTACTTTTAACTTCTTTAATAAATCCTAATTTTGTCCTATCTGCTGTTTTATATTATGAGATAACATTAATTGTTGTCACGGCATTTTGCTTAAAAAACTAGTACAACTCTAATTAAGTGTTTGTCAATTGCACAAAAATGGACTTATTATTTATTTCACCACATTAACAAAGTCACCCATTAACCAAAAGTCTTTCTCAAAAAAATAAAATAAAATAAATAAAAAATAACCAGAAGTAGCTGAAGAGCAGATATGAATACAAGATGCTTATCTCAATCTTAATAAATGAGATTCAATGTTACTTGTGTCAGAAATGTTTTGAAAAAATCTGGGTAAGAATAGAATTTTTTTTTAAGTTTGGTCTATCTTTTAGGTAGGACCCGTGCGTCAAAGTTGGCGGGTCTAAGTGGTAACGCGTTCTATGCCGCATTGTGATTCACGTGGTATATTTGGTAGCTTAAAACCATTGCCGGGTGAATAGGAAATTGAAACCAAAGTAAGCTCCATAGAAATAGAGTTTTTGGTGAAAATTCCTTAAGGTTTGAATATTGGCTTGTCCCATTGATTTGGTAAGAAACTTTGAGTGAGTTTATAAAGCTTGGAGTTGGAACTTGGGGTAGGCCCCAAGGCGCACCCAAGTTTTGTAAAGAGGGAGGTTATGGACAAAATTGGTTAAACCCATTGGACCAAAAAGTTACCATATACACAAGTGTGGGGTTGGGCTTGTCCAACCCAATATCTATCTTTTTGCCCCAAAAACATTTGAATTTTATTTTTCTAAATTTAAATTCTAATTTTTTGAATTTGAATTTCAGAAATTAAATTCAAAATTGGATCCGTTTTTTCCCACCCAAACGTTCAAAAAAACAAGATAGATTCAAATTTGTGCAATTCGGTTTTAATCTGTTCAATTCAAAATAAAAGGATGCTACTACATCTATAAATAAACTAGTTCTCATTTGATGATTCATTCAATTTTTCCGTCCAAAATATTGTCTACCTTCTTTGCATTTTGTTGCATCTAAATTCCTATGAGAAAGAATATAAACACTTTGTGTGTTTGTTGTACGAAAAATTTGTAGTGCTGCTATTTTTCGTTGATTGATCATTTTATCCTGAGAGGTAGACGTCCATATTCTGAAAATACCGTAGAGATGACGAATCTGTTTTAAGGGCACAGTGTCTAACACTGGACTTAATCAGAATATTGTTCGAGAATTTAATCAAGTAAGTTGTTTATTTATTTTCTGTTTTTATTTATTTATATCAAATTTTAATTTTGTTTTTGCAACAAAATAAAATCTATTTTTATTTATTTAATTTTTATTGATTTGATTTTTTGTAGTCAAACAATATCTCACATTTTTTATTTTTCTTTTGTATTCTATTTATTATTTAATATACAAACAGAATTTATTTATTTAAATATAATAAAAATTGTCCAACAACTAGAGACCTCATTTTCAAGAAAAAGGTGATTATGGGTTATCAATTGGTTAATCAATGAATTTAAGATTCTCTATAGCGCACTACCTACAACAGAAATGAGGACCAAAACCCTATGGGTGTCGCAAATCCCATGTAACCAACCATACTGTCCGCATTCGTATCAAATGTCTTTGTTCAACTAGGAGTGGCCTTCTACGCATGCGCATATCTCAATCACAGATACTGAGGTGACTAGCTAATCTGTAAATTCATTTCATTCTGGTCGGTAATTGGCCTTAACTGGGAGCGGCTTTGACACTGAGATTTCCATGGATTAGCAGCATCACAGCATTGTTCCTCACCATTTCGATCGTTCAAAAGTTATGAGAGAAAACATGTGACCTAACCAGTGCAAAGAAATATCAGGGACACCGCCGGATAGAAATCAACTGTCGAGTTTATACAGAAACTTTAAAAATGATACAAAAGGTCTCGTAGGAACTTCAGGGTTCATATGCATGTGTGGAAGACAGAACAGAACCCATGGATTATACAAGCAAAGCAAGGGCTAAATAAAACCCATATAATCTTTTTAGACTCTAAAAAACATGAACACACTGTAACTGTACTGCTTTCTCCTCCTCTTCTACACTTTCGACTTTCATCTCAAACTCATCACCGGCCATGGCGTCGCCCCAACAGCAGGTAGAGATGGCCGTATGACAGGAACCTGTTTTATCAGTGAGAAAGCCTCATTAAGGCGTGCTGCACGCGTCATGAACTGAGATACCTTCTGCACACATCAAATTGGAAATCGAATAGTTAGTTTATTTATGGAGTGGAAAACGATTCTCCCTTGCAGATTATGTAAAAGAAAAAAATTTGTTGCATGTAGTTGCATGCAGATATTAGACAAAGAGAGGGACCGGTACCTGTATTATTCAATGGCCTACTCTTTTAAGTGATTGCGGGCATGGAAAAAAGAGAAAAAAGGAAAAAAAAAAAAAGAAGGGCAAATCTTGAAATTTAAGTAGAGCATGCCTGGGACCCTGTATACTAATTGCTCTATTTAGTTCACTAGAATAGAATGAAATGGAATGGTTATTCCTTAAGCTCTCCTATAAAATGATCATCTCTTACAATAGTGAATGATGTTTCGATTTTACAATGTAATTTTCATTATTTTTTAGTCACTCCAACAAGGATTACATTTTATACCAATGCTACACATCCATTCACAATTAATTCTAATAATGCAATGAATGATGGAATGCATCGATGGAACAAGAAACCGTCTCCTTTTTCTTCTTTCTTTTATCTTACAAGGATATCGAGCTACTTTTTTCCAGTTCTGAAAAGAAAATTGGAGCATCAAAAAGCAAATCCAATCAGAAACTATATCCAAATCATTCAAGTCGGGTCATACTCTTGCTGTATTTAAGGCCAAACACAAGTCTGTTTCTTCCAGATAAGAAAGTGGAGTGGTTTAAATCTTGATTGCCAACGTCCAAGCTCACTTCCCAAACTACCATGAAGTTTGCCTGTTCTACTAAACAATATAATTCTTTTCCATGTATTAAAAACAAAGAGAAGATAGAAGGCGATGCCAATTGCCAAAGTTATATTGGTAATGGTCCAAATAGCATGTAGGTAATAGGTATGCAGTTATACCCCTCTGTTATAAAAAATAAAATATAAATAAATAAATAAAAGGTAAAAATTGGAAAAAAATCACAATACATGGGGGGCCTCAGATAATGATTGAAGGTCCAGACCAAAGAGTAAAAAAATAAAAAGATATAAAAATAAATAAGAAAATAAATTAAAAAGGAAGATAATGGTTAAATGTATCAGAATTTTCCAGCACTCAAGTAGACAAGTCATGTACAAAAAATTCCAAACCAGAATCATATTGGACATCATATTTGTTACTTGCAACTAATGAGTCATGCCAGAGTTAGAAACAAGATAAAAGGAAATGTGATTATCTAACTGACCAACGTCAAAATCCATTTGAAAACTTTCAGTAGTAATGCATTGCAATCACCCAAGAAACTACAACAAATTATAAATCGCAAGTAACCAATATATTACAAAACCCAACCTTCCATTTCATTCTGTTGCTGAGAAACCCAAAGGAAAGAAAGAGAAGGGATTCCATTTTTTTTTAATAAATAACATTTATCAGAACAAAACAGTAGTTGTATACTTCCAATTGATTTTGAATTGAAAAAATCAAGTTAGCCATATTCATTGTATGATTGTAAGCTAACTAGGAACTTTCCTTTCACAAATCCTAAAATATGTAATACTTAAAAATTGAAACTTTTGATTCATTTTCTTTGCTCAGGCTTTCTCATCAACCCAACAGAGCATTTATGGTGAAAACAATCCAAGAAAAAATACAATGAAACAGTCAAATTGTAGTCATCTAGCAATGTAGCAATAACATTAGATAAGCATATTAGCAGTTGAGTCCCCAATTCAACAAAAATGTAACACACAGCTACTGAAATTTGATAAAAACAGAGCTCAGCCCCCAATTCAACCAAAATGAAACACACAGATACTGAAATAACAAGGCAAATCTAAATGCCACTACATGATAACTGACCTTATCATCCATGGTAACCTTGAGCTGCAAGCTCCGGTTCTTCTTCTTCATCTTGAATAAGCGGCGTCCCAATACAACAACACCGATAACCGCTGCGGCTACCGAGAAAGTCCAAACTGGGTTAACCTTAAAAGCACAGTACTTGAAGAACTCAAATGGAAGTTTCCACCAAACAACACTCCTCTTCTCTTCCTCACCACCACTAGACTTCATTGCTCCAATAGCATCACTTTCATTCCCACTCGACAAACCCTTCTCTCCAGCTGACTCGGAATTTGCATTACTATCGTGCTCAAAATCCCCAAATTCCATCGAAACCGGTCCAATTTCCCCAATTCCTTCAAAACCCAGTTGGATTTTTTCATTTTCAACAAAACCCAGTTCATTATTAGCATCGAATTCGTTGAATTTAAGGTCATCGGACTTATCGCTACCTGAATCAGGCCAAAACTCGCCGGGTTCCTTCCTCGGATACCTAGTCTCCGACTCAGGATCGATCCAACTCGGATTGTCAGACTCAATCGAACCCTCTTCGCTGACAGTCTTCACATACTTGTTATGCGAATCGAGAGAGAAGTAATCGGTTCGAATCATGCCTTCGGAGTCAGCTTCGATTCCCTCCAAACTCTTCATGGTCTCAACTGAGTCGAACGAGTTAACTGAGCTTCTCTCGCCCGAGTTGTTAAGCATCTCCCAATCGTGAAACTCGCTGGGTTGTCCTTCCATGGAAGCTAAGCTGTTGGGGGTTTCACAAAGATCAAACCTTTCTCGAAGGAATTGTGGCTTTGCACAAAAGGCACAAAGTTTAAAACCTAGAAAGCAAAATGAACGGCTTATCCTATATGGCACACAATTTTTTTAATTTTAATTTTTTTTAGTGGATAAATTGCACTTTAACACTTGTATTTTGTTGAAATTACACTAAAATCACACTATCATATCTTTATTCTTTGAAATCACACTGAGTCTTATAGACTTGATATAATTATATTTGGCATCTTTTAATAGTATGATTGAAAAAAAATATTGATTTTTTTTATTGAAATGTATATATCATCTTGTCTATTTATGTATCTGTAAATCGTTTGTATTACTCTCTCCGTTTCAAAATAATGGTTCTTTTTGGGGAATTTAACTTTTTTTGGTAGTACAATTATTGCATTTGAAAAAAATTAATTTTTCAAAATTATCCTTTTGATAGTACATTTTTTGAGAATATCAATGCATAATTGTACTTTTATGTTGTTTATTAATTTAAAAGAAGGGTAAAATAGGAAATTTATATTATTTTTGTACTTGATTTTTGAAGAGGGACTAATATTTTGGGACAATGAAAAATGGAATAAGGGACTAATATTTTGGGACGGAGGGAGTACTTTTTATCATTTTAATCAATAAGTTTTTTTTGATATAATTATATTAAATTTGTAAAATTTATTATATATAAGGAGTTTTTAGTTTAAGGCCCTTAATATTATAATTTTATAAGATAAAAGACATATAATATTTTCATAATAATTTGAGTCTCTTAACATTTTTACAGAAAAATTTGTAAAAAATTAATTTTTCAAAATTATCCTTTTGATAGTACATTTTTTGAGAATATCAATGCATAATTGTACTTTTATGTTGTTTATTAATTTAAAAGAAGGGTAAAATAGGAAATTTATATTATTTTTGTACTTGATTTTTGAAGAGGGACTAATATTTTGGAACAATGAAAAATGGAATAAGGGACTAATATTTTGGGACGGAGGGAGTACTTTTTATCATTTTAATCAATAAGTTTTTTTTGATATAATTATATTAAATTTGTAAAATTTATTATATATAAGGAGTTTTTAGTTTAAGGCCCTTAATATTATAATTTTATAAGATAAAAGACATATAATATTTTCATAATAATTTGAGTCTTTTAACATTTTTACAGAGAAAATTTTGTATTTACATACAAATTTTAATTCTTCAAAAAGAAATTTTAAAATTTTTTATAATAATATTATTGAGAGATCTTAGCTAATAAGAAAAACATATTACCTACTACCAAAAGTTTGAAAGACATATTTCACTAATTTTTCTATTTTAAAATCTTATGGATGACTTGTATAATTTATGTAAAATAAAATTTTGCACATATGAAAAAAATATTTATTTATCATTTCTAATTTTGACTCAAATTAGCCAATTGATACATTATTTTAAAAAAAGATAAATTTTAAATACATTCTTTCAGATTTGATTAAAATACGAATTATCCTTTGTGGTTTGAAAAATTACAAATATATCACTGTCAGCATTTTTTATTTAACAGAATTAATTAAAAAAGTGAAATTTCTAACTGTTCATCTATACAATAATAAAATTATCTAAATTATTAATTGAAATAAAATTTTAATATTATTAAAAATTATTAATTAACTTAATAATTTATTAATAAAAAAATCTATTTATTATGAAATTAAAAATCTTAAAAATATAATATAATTTTTTAAATTATATAAAATAATTTATAATTTAAGTACAGGTGTGTCTGTAATTTATCTTTAAAAAAACAGTTGTTCAATAATGACGGTTGCTAGGTAGGCCGACAAAATGTTTGCTCAATAAATGTTAATAAATAATGCTATATATTTCATCACAAACCTATCGGCTATGTTACATCAATGGCATACAAGTAGAAAAATTACAAAATTGATGTAGAAATAAGTGGAAAATAAATTGTCCATAGCATATGTACTTTATCATTATAGAAAAATAGTATAATTTTATATTTTTTAAATTATATTTAAAAAAATCATAATAAAGTATAAAAAAAATTTAAAAATTTAAAAATAATACCATAATTAAAAAAAAAATTAGTTATAACTATAAAAAAATAACATAATTAATAGTGCATATAGTAGGTCGGTATATATAATAAAATTTTCCTAGATTTATAATTATATAGAGATTAATAATTTTAAAAAAGATTTATTAATTAAGAATTTTAAAAAAGATTTATTAAAATAATATTTAATTACAACAATATACTATAATTTTTTAAGAATATTTACCAATAAGTCCCATCTCACAAAAAAGTATTCTAATTAGTCTCAAACTTTTTATATTGATCTGTTAAGTCATGATGTGGTCTTATTTTCAATTTTGATAATATTTTAGTGGATGAATATATCATTTTATCAATGTGACATGTATGATGTAATACTATAATGTGGCAGGTATTAATGTGACACTTTAATATGGCATGTATGATGTGACATTTCAAAAAAATTAAAAATTTCTTAATGTACTTTTTTCAAATGTGACAATATAGTACGTATGATGTGACATTCTAAATCTTTTATTAAAAAAAAATAAAAACTCCTTAGAATTTTTTTTTCAAATGTGACAACGCGGCAGGTATGATGTGACTTTTAAAAAACTAAAAATAGTTTAGTGTACTTTTTTTTAAATGTAATAATGTGGCGGTTATGATGTGACATTTTAAAAAAACTAAAAACTTATTATTGTATTTTTTTTTTGTAAATGTGACATGACTCAAATGTGACAACGTGACGGATATGATGTAGCACTCTAAAAAAACCTAAAACTCATTAGGTGGTGTTTGGCAAGTGATTTTGGGGCTAAAATAGTCACAAAAGACAAAATAGGCTATTTTAGTCACAACAAACAAAACATCACATCCAACCCATAATCATTACACTATTCTCTCACAAAAAAAATTAAAAAGTCAAAAAATCCTTCCCAAACCAAGCTTTTTAACTCAGGCTAAAATAGTCAAAAAAGTCAAAAAGTCAAAAAGCCAACCCACTTCCCAAACGGAGGCTTAGAATACTTTTTTTCAAATGTGATAACGTGACTGGTATGATGTGACACCAAAAAAAATTAAAAATTCATTAGTGTATTTTTCCCAAACGTGACATGTGACACTCTAACGTGGCGAGTATGATATGATTTGATATTGCAAAAAAATAAACTCTTTAGGTGGTATTTGGCAAGTGATTTTGAGGCTAAAATAGTCACAAAAGACAAAATAGGCTATTTTTGTCACAACAAACAAAATATCACATCCAACCCATAATCATTACACTCTTCTCTTACAAAAAAAGTCAAAAAATTCAAAAAATCAAAAAGTCCTTCCCAAACCAAGTTTTTTAGCCCAGGCTAAAATAGTCAAAAAAGTCAAAAAGTCAATCCACTTCCCAAACCAACCGTTAGAGTATTTTTTTCCAAATGTGACACTCTAACGTAGCAGATATAATGTGACACTAAAAAACTTCTTAGTATACTTTTTTTCAAATGTGACACTTCAAAATGGTAGGTAAATAAGTCATTAGACATAAAAAAAAAAAAAAACTAAATGGATCAAAAAAAAAAAAATATGGACCTATATAAGTTATATGCTCAAAATATGAGATTTATTGGTCTATTTCTCAAATTTTTTTTTTTAATAACAATAATAATAATATACATATATTTATATATATAATTTCTCTCTCTCTCTTCCGTTCCGTCTCTATCTCTCACCCACTCTCTCCTTTACTCTCTCTTTTTCTCCTTCTCTTGCTGTCTCGCTCTCCCCTTCT